GATCAAGAGTTATTGACGTTTTTATACTAAGAGTATGCACTTTTCAAATGTTAATATCTCTGTTTGGCGCAAACAAAAAAAAAGTTTTTTTTGCAGCATTTGAAAGAGCGTATGTTATTCTCAATAATATGAAAAAATTGCAGGTATGTTATTTTTTAAACTCGTATAAAATCAATTTGAATTTATTCATATTTTTTACTATATTTGAGTATATCTTTTTTATTAGAAGAAATACAGGCAACAAATTCAGCTATAAAACATTCGTCTTAAAGAGTTTCAAAAGTCTCTAGAAGATGACTTTCATGATAAATTTCAAATAAAAAGGATGGATTTCATAGGACCACTCTAATGACAAATTTATATAAAATGTGCTAATACATTTATTTCAATATTTGAACATTTAGTGTCTTGGAAGAAGTTTTTGTTCTTAAAAATTCCCTTCTTTTGGTGTTTGCAAACGTCAGGGTGGTCCTCAAATTAGGGAATTTTTAAAACTAACTTTTTTGTTTTACAAAATATAAACATGTGTTGTTCAAAAAAGTTGTAGTTAAGTTACTTGCAAGCAACTTTGTCGAAATTTTTTTTTTCTATCTCTTAACGTTCTCATTTTAGAGTGATTTTTCGGAGTTGACTTAGGGTGTTCCTGGAAAAAATAGTTTTTTAGCAATAACTTTTTTATTTGAAAATTCTCATGAAAATTATATTCTAGAGACTTTTAAAACTCTTTAAGACAAATGTTTTATAGCTGAATTTATTGCCTGTATCTCTTCTAATAAAAAAGATATACTCAAATATAGTAAAAAATATGCATAAATTCAAATTGATTTTATACGAGTTTAAAAAATAACATACCTTTATTTTTTCATATTATTGAGAATAACATACGCCCTTTCAAATGCTGCAAAAAAACTTTTTTTTTTGTTTGCCCCAACCAGAGATATGAACATTTGAAAAGTGCATATTTTTAGTATACAAACGTCAATAACTCTTGATCGGTGAAAGATATTGACAAGTTTTCTGCATTAAAAATTTGCACCTTTTTAAGATCTAAAAGTTATCTCAAGACTCCTTTGCTGAGAAATTCAAAATAAGATAAATAGAGCAAAAAAACTGTTTTTTTAAGAGCCACCCTAACTCAATTCAAGAAAATAGCTCTAAATCGGCCAATTTAAGAGATACAAAAAAGTTATTTCCAACAAAGTTGCTTAAAATTAGCTCAGCTATAACTTTGCCGAAGAATGTATACCTTAATTTATTCAAACAAAAAAGTTAGATTTTTGATTTGATTGATAATAAGAACCACCCTAGAATTCATTGCCATAAAAATGAGGGCCTAACTATGAGGAACAACTTTGTAGAAGAAACTTTTAGTCTAAAGTTTCAATTTCAGGCTCAAAACATATCATTCCACCTAAATCTGCACTCTGTACCACTGTGCACTGATACCAGCGCTCATTTCTGAAAAAAAACTTATAATTTATTCATTGCTTGCAAAAAGAATAGATGAATCAGGGCACATGTATCAGTATATATCAAATTATAAAACTCTATAGTGTGAAAAAAATCAACAAATTGAAAAATTTACTCGGAGTCGTATGTTTGCGAAAAGAATTATTTCGCGAAGTTCTCTTTGGCGCAATTCCGATTTGCAGAATCCTATTTTGCGGTATAAGGATAAAATTTCTGCAAGATAGGACATTACGCGAAATGGGATATTCTGCCAAATAATATTCCGCTTGATGAAATAGGTTACCCCGTAAATCGCTATTGAAATGCCACTGCCGTCAAACTATAGGGCGCCTTGATTATGTTGAGCCGACTCTTTCAATTAGTAATGGATGAAATGGTTTTGCAGAACATACATGTATACCACATTTTTTTTTGACCATGTCAAACAGTGGAATTTAAATTGAAGTTTAATTTAAAGGGTCTACTTCAGTACATACCGTGCACTGGTAGTGGCAGTGTCCATGATGTCTAATTGGCTAAACATCGATTTCAGTGACAAGGATTCTTCGTTCACTGTGTTTCATAACTTTGACTATTCGGTCAGCGACAACTTCAACCCCAGTTCCTGTTATGTTAAGTACTATCCACACAATTAGTTTTTTTCTACCGAACTCGGCTGAGCAAATCTCGGCAGGCCATTACCACTTGTACCTGTACAACCTCTAGTGCTACATGCATTCCACAACCAAGTCACTGGTATCACATGTTGTTCAACATTGAATTTATGAAGTTCTTGTAAATGTAAGAAGATTAATTACAGATCATCGAAAAAAAAAATTAATTAAAATTTGTTGCATAGCATTTTTTTGAAACATTCACAAACCGGAAGCCACCATTTTGGATTCCAAAATTGCGTGAATCATCGATTTCCGGCCTCTACACGTCGTTCCAGTTCCGAAAATATCCATATCGTTGGCTATTTGACAGTTTTTCACAAAACCGGAAGCCGCCATCTTGGATTCCAAAATGGCATGAATCATCGATTTCCGACCTCTGCATGTCGTCTCGGTTCCGAAAATATCCATATCGTTGGCTATTTGACAGTTTTTCACAAAACCGGAAGCCGCCATCTTGGATTTCAAAATGGCATGAATGATCGATTTCCGGCCTCTGCATGTCGTCTCGGTTCCGAAAATATCCATATCGTTGGCTATTTGACAGTTTTTCACAAAACCGGAAGCCGCCATCTTGGATTCCAAAATGGCATGAATCATCGATTTCCGGCCTCTGCATGTCGTCTCGGTTCCGAAAATATCCATATCGTTGGCTATTTGACAGTTTTTCACAATACCGGAAGCCGCCATCTTTGATTCCAAAATGGCATGAATCATCGATTTCCGGCCTCTACACGTCTAGATTATACCATGCAAGAGTGGAAATGGCTGAATTCCAACACAAACCTGGTTCATTGTCTGGCTTTGTGGAAGCCAGCTGCTTTCAAGATGGTTAGGACTTACAAATGAGAGAAAATTCAGTAATGGTGTGATCAAAGCATTCGGAAGGTCTTTACCTTCAGAAGAACTTTATCATGAACGAATATGTTCTAGGTGATCATGACTTACAAGTACCGAATAAAATTCCATGCACACTGCTCAGTTTTTTTGTTATGATGAATTTTGAAATAACACGGGTTTATCACACGGTTTTGTGAAACACATGGTCTTTTTTTACACGGTTTTTTGAAACAACGCGGTTTTTTTTTACACGGTTTTTTGAAACAACGCGGTTTTTTTTTACACGGTTTTTTGAAACAACGCGGTTTTTTTTTACACGGTTTTTTGAAACAACGCGGTTTTTTTTTACACGGTTTTTTGAAACAACGCGGTTTTTTTTTACACGGTTTTTTGAAACAACGCGGTTTTTTTTTACACGGTTTTTTGAAACAACGCGGTTTTTTTTTACACGGTTTTTTGAAACAACGCGGTTTTTTTTTACACGGTTTTTTGAAACAACGCGGTTTTTTTTTACACGGTTTTTTTTTACGCGGTACGTATCCCCCGTGTAAAAAAAGACTTGAGTGTACACAAGTCCATCATGCCAAACATTGTCAAACGCCTTTTCAACGTCCAACAAGGCCATGGCTGTGGACTTGGATACAGCTTTGTTACTTCGGATGTTATTCATCACCCGTACTAGCTGATGATTGGTGGAGTTCCCCTTTCTGAATCCAAACTGTTCCGGAAGGAGAATGTTGTTTTCCTCGACAAACTTGAGCAAACGATTGAGAATGAGTTTCTCGAACAATTTGCTCAGCGCTGAAAGGAGGCTGATTGGTCTGTAGCTTGAAGGCTGTTCGTACATCGACGAAAAGTGTATAGGCGCGCCATCTAGGAGTCAACCCTCATGGACCGACAGCATAAACCATTTTCGTTCGTCGATCATGGCGCCCGGCTAAAAAGAGAATTGTCGGTCCACATGTGATAGCATGGAGACGGAGGTGATTGATAGTCAAAGACTTGCGTGTTCCCGTTGTGCTCTGTGGTGCCCTGAAAGGAAGAAAATTTGGCACAGAACTACTGTTCTCCGCTGATCCATCGAACATTTGGTCCTTCGAACCGGATTGGACGTCGAAACTCCGACCTTTCTGGAACCTTCCCGTGGAGAAGCAAACCGCCATCGCACCCGTGAGACGAGTCACGTAGGATCCGCCATCGTAGCCACTGAGGGAATCACAAAAGCCCATTGGATTCCGCCATCACAACTGCTGATATAATCATTGCCTTTAAAAGGTAATTAGCATTCCTATTATTTCTACCTCTCCTTTTTTGGGCTACGCGGTCTTTCGTTTTGCAGAACCGCTGAATCCCGTAACCCGCATTCATCTTTACCGCAGCTGGAATTATTCAATACAAGGCACTAATTGCCTTCAAAAAGGTAATTAATTTTCCAATAAAATTTACTCTCTCTCGTGTGAGCTACGCGGCATTACAGACCCTGCTCAACACCATGTCTACCGATCGACGTCCTCAAGACAAAGCAGAAGAGCCTGCTTGCGTCGTTCGGCCTCATCAAGGCCTTCGTCGATAGTTACGATGAAGAAACCGGTGCGTGTGAGATCCCGGTTCGCCTAGAAAATCTCGACGCTCTATGGACTTAGTTTAAGCAAGTCCAGTCCGAGCTTGAGACACTTGACGAGGCCACTATCGACCAGCAGCTAAAGCAGCGAACCGATTTCGAGACAGCATACTATCGTGTAAAGGGATTTTTGCTGTCAAACAATAAAACGCCTTCCACACCCCGCCTGAATACTTCTTTGAGCTCGCAAATCCCTGCTTCTTCATCGTCGCATGTCCGCTTACCTGATGTGAAGTTGCCCGTCTTTAATGGAAACCTAGACAACTGGCTCAACTTCCATGACTTGTTCGTTTCGCTGGTTCACGCATCGCTCGAGTTGTCCAATATCCAGAAGTTTTATTATCTACGTTCTTCTTTGGCTGGAGATGCCCTGAAGCTGGTTCAAACGATTCCTATAAGTGCAAACAACTATCCAGTCGCCTAGAACCTGCTGGTAGACAATCCTACCTTGACGCTCTTTTCGAGTTTCCTACGTTGAAACGTGAATCTGCTGCCGAACTTCATTCGCTGGTTGAAAAGTTTGAGGCCAATGTCAAGGTCTTGAAGCAGCTTGGTGAAAAGACTGAGTTTTGGGATATCATCCTTATACGAATGCTGAGCATCCGTTTGGACCCAACCACTCGACGAGACTGGGAGGAGTATTCGTCAACGAAGGATGCCATCGCCTTCAACAATCTTACGTCTTTTATTCAGCGAAGAGTAACTGTCCTACAAACAATTCAAGGGAAAGTTGTTGAAGCTCCAGTGTTCACTCAGCAGCTCAAGAAATCTGCTCAACGTCCGGTTGCCAGTTATGGGGCCAGTCAATTCAACTCCGGTCGGAAATGTATCGTCGGCTCCGATCACCATCCGCTCTATTTGTGTTTGTCGTTCGCCAAACTCGACTTGGTGGCTAAGAAAAGGGAGGTTTGACGACATCAACTCTGCCGTAACTGCCTACGACAGGGTCATCATGCTCGGGACTGTCCATCGGCTAGTTCTTGCCGTAAATGTCGAGGTCGCCACCACACCCAGCTCTGCTCTGAGGAGAAGTCAGTCGCTGCGAACTCCAGGACTACGGATTCTTCTCAAACCAAAACACCAACTACTTCTACGTCTGGTGAGCAACCAATGGCATCCGTGTTAGCTACCCTCTATGAACCTACCAGCTACGCGAGCACTGGACAAGCACGAAAGAACGTACTTCTGGCAACAGCTGTCGTCAATATGGTCGACGACAATGGGACTGCACATGTCGCAAGAGCTCTCCTCGACTCCGGTAGTGAATGCTGCTTTATTACCGAGTCTTTCTCGCAGCTTGTCAAGGCAAAGCGCTACAAAGTCTCTGTACCGATTTCGGGGATAGGACAATCATCGACATATGCAAGGTACAAGATCGTCTCTACTGTTCATTCGAGAGTTTGCGATTACTCCACCTCGGCTGAATTTCTGGTCCTGCCTAAGGTCACCATAGATCTACCGACTGCTTCTTTCGACGCTAGCTCGTGGAAAATTCCTCCTGGTGTTCAATTAGCCGACCCGGCTTTCTACAATGCAAACCCCATCGACATTATCATTGGCGCTGAAGTGTTCTTCGATCAATTCAAAGTTTCTGGGCGTATTCAACTTGGCAATTCTCTTCCGACCTTGGTTAACTCGGTCCTCGGTTGGATAGTATCTGGAAAGGCTTCGTACGGTACTCCTACGACTCCAGTAATCGCCAACGTTGCCACTGTTGCTGAACTACACCAGTGGATGGAGAAATTCTGGGCCATCGAAGAAAACGACACTTCACCTTGCTACTCCGTCGAAGAAGCAGCTTGTGAAGAACACTTTCAACGAACGGTTAGGCGCAACTCCGAAGGAAGGTACATCGTTCGTTTGCCGATAAAGGATGACGTCATCAAGCAAATTGGTGACAACCGTCGCACTGCTGTTCGCCGTTTTCGGATGCTGGAAGGTCGCCTCGGTCGCAACTCCGAACTTGCCCAGCAATATCGTGACTTCATAGACGAGTACCTTGCTTTGGGTCACATGAAGCAAGTCTTTGACTATCAATCACCTCCGTCTCCATGCTATCACATGCCTCACCACGCTGTAGTTCGAGAAGAGAGTACTACAACAAAGCTACGAGTAGTCTTCGATGCATCTTGTAGGACTCCAGAAGGACCATCGCTTAACGATGCACTCATGGTAGGCCCAACCGTCCAGCAAGAGATCCGTTCAATCATCATGCGTTCCAGAATCCGTCGAGTGATGATCATCGCTGACGCCAAGCAGATGTATCGTCAAGTCTTAGTAGACGAGCGTGACACTCCGCTTCTACGAATAGTCTGGACACCATCACTGGACCAGCCATTGGCTACCTACGAGCTCCTAACAGTTACCTACGGTACTGCAAGCGCACCGTTTCTCGCTACTCGAGTTCTCCTGCAACTGGCAGACGACGAGAAGGACAGTTATCCTGAAGCAGCTGAGGTATTGCGTAAGGACTTCTACGTAGACGACCTTTTCTCTGGAGCAAACAGCATCGAAGAAGCAACTACGCTCCGTCAACAGCTAGAAGCACTCCTAGCCAGAGGCGGATTTCAACTTAGAAAATGGGCATCTAACGAAGAAGCAGTTTTGGAAGGTCTCGCACCGGAAAACCGAGCTCTCAAAGCCTCAATTGATCTGGATCGTGACCAATGCATTAAGTCTTTGGGTCTTCATTGGGAACCCGCTTCGGATCAACTGAAATACCGCATCGAGCTTCCGGCGGACTCGACTGATTTTCCTCTAACTAAGCGAATAGCTCTATCGCAAATTGCTCGCCTTTTCGACCCACTTGGTCTACTGGGTCCGGTCGTAATCTCCGCTAAACTCTTCATGCAAGCACTCTGGACGCTGAAGGACGACGATGGTAAAATTTGGAACTGGGACCAAGAGCTTCCGATGCCAATAAGAGAACGTTGGCATACTTACCGATCTCAGCTACCACTTCTCAACAACCTTCGTATCGAGCGGTACATACTTTCATCAAATCCGTCAAGCGTGCAGTACCACTTCTTCTCGGACGCTTCTGAGCAAGCATACGGCGCGTGCTGTTACATTCGGTCGGCAGACTCTTCTGGAGCAGTTAAGGTAGCTCTTCTAACAGCGAGATCAAAGGTAGCACCCTTGAAACAGCAGAGTATTCCTCGCCTTGAACTATGTGGAGCACTTCTCGCTGCACAACTTCACAAAAAGGTCTCGGCTTCTCTTGAACTTCCGGGAGAGTGTCTTCTCAGCTTTAGTTCCTTTTCAATTTAAATTATTATTAATTACAGTTCCTAGTCCTATCAGGCCTGTTTTAAGAATGACCACCTTGGTGGGATTGGTTTGTTTAAAATTTGAAAGAGGAGACTACTTATAACTACTATTTACAACTACAACTAACCTACAACTACTATATACACCAAATCTACTATATACAAATTGCTTATCAAAGCATGTTCTGATAAAATACATTTTTGTGTAAATTTGGTGCTAATTTCGTTAATTTTGGAATCTATTTTGGCAATGCCTGCCTCTTCATGTAAATTTGTTATTCTAGTGTCGAAAGGACGATCAAGAACCATCCCCAGCACTCTATTCTGAGCTACCTGAATTTTGTTCCTGTGAGTTTGTGCACATGATTCCCACACCGAAGCTGCGTAGAGGATCGCAGATGCTATGATTTGTTTGTAGACAGCCAGTTTGTTCACCCTTGAGAGGCGGGATCTGCGGCAAATCAGCGGATACAGACACCTAACCAAGACAGAACACTTGACTACTGTTTTCTCTACATGCGAACGGAAGAGGAGCTTTTCATCGAACAACATCCCGAGATAGGTTACTTCGGCAGACCACTCAACCCTTGTGCCATCCATGATTACAGTACAAGATGGAGCCGGTTTCAGTTGCAGCGATTGCCGATGGAGGAACATGATCGCTTGTGTTTTGGAGGCATTTATTTTGATTTTCCACGTGGTGGCATAATCAGCAAAGGCGTTAAGGAATCGTTGAAGTTTGTTCGTTATTTCGCGAAGCATCCGTCCTTTGACGGCTATTGCGGTATCATCTGCGAACAGAAAAAAAAACACGCAACCGTCAAGGGGCCCCGCAGACTGCCTTGCAGGACTCCTGCTGGGATGGAAAACGTGTCTGAAAGACAACCATTCAACGATACCTTAAACGACCTTTGCTGGAGGTAGTTACGGGTTATTTTAACCAGATGTAATGGGAAGTTGAAGTTACAAAGCTGGTACACAAGTTCGTCATGCCAAACATTGTCAAACGCCTTTTCAACGTCTAACAAGGCCATGGCTGTGGACTTGGATACAGCTTTGTTACTTCGGATGTTATTCATCACCCTGATGATTGGTGGAGTGCCCCTTTCTGAACCCAAACTGTTCCGGAAGGAGAATGTTATTTTCCTCGACAAACTTGAGCAAACGATTGAAAATGAGTTTCTCGAACAATTTGCTCAGCGCTGAAAGGAGGCTGATTGGTCTGTAGCTTGAAGGCAATGTTGGATCCTTTCCGGGTTTGCGGATTGGTATGATTTTGGCTACTTTCCAGATGCTTGGAAAGTAGTGCAGTTCTAAACATCTGTTGAAGATAGCGGTTCGAAGAGACTGCACTTTCATGCTGAGTCTCTTCAAGATCAAGTTGAATATACCGTCAAACCCGGGAGCCTTCATGTTCTTGGTGCATTTCAGCGCTGAGCAAATCCGTTGTACTGTAATCATATCCGCCGGAGGCACGACACAAGGGGAGGCATCTAGGTTTTGAACGCATTGCGCAACCTGATCATCGAGCGGACTTTGGATAGTCGAGCCAAGCAAATGCGATGAAGCGACATGCCTGCCGATCGCATTTGCTTTCTCCTGTGGGGTGATTAAAAGCCGATTGTCATCATTTTCGACTCTGAGAGTAGGAATGGGTTTGGGATGAGTTTTCAGGAACTTGGCTACCTTCCAGAATGGTCTGGAGCGGTCGTCGAGATTCTGGACAACACGCCCGAAACTTTCATTTCGTAGTGAGTCCATTCTGGAAGCAATCTGCCTGTTCAGATCGGCCATTTCACGTTTTTTGCCCAGATCTCCAGTCCTCTGAAACTGGCGTCTACGAACATTTCTCAACCGAATCAGTAATTGGGTGTGGGAATCAATAGCAACAAACTTACCCCTCAGAGGAACTTGTCGAACGTATGCCTCGTCAGCCATGGATATGGCCTGTTGGAGCCCTTCCAACGTCCGGTCGATGTCATCTACGGTGTTGAGTAGTGGATTTTCATCGATGTTGCTGTCCACCATTCGTCCGTACTGTACCCAGTTGACATGTTGGTAGTCTTTACGCAGGCAGCTTCTAGCAGGAACCACGTTGACACCGACTTCAGTCACCACCGGTTGGTGGTCGGAGCTGAGATCGTTGTGCGCCTCCGGCTTGGATAGTCCGATGTTTGACAGGACGATCCGTCGTTATCAGAAATTGACCGAACTGCTAATCCGCAAGTTGCCTTACCAGCGTCTGGTCCGTGAAATTGTCCAGGACTTCAAGACCGATCTGCGCTTCCGCTCAGCTGTTCTGGCTCTACAGGAAGCCAAGCGTGTCACAATCATCGTATCCATGGTGAACGCGCCTAATTTCCCCGTCGAAAATCTTACTAAACTGGCCACTACAAAGATTCAATTAGAGAGCTATTTAAGAGAACTTTTAAAATTCAGATTTAGATCGGCTAAGTTTGTTCTGTGGATTCTATGCAATCAGTAACGGACTGGCACTGCTCACCATACACGGTACGGTACATGGGTCGAGCCAGAGACGATGTTTAAAAAGAGACGCGAAGACTGAAGCAAAAATTTTAAATGTTCCAATCGAACCGTCAAACGCGGTTCCAATCGAGCAATGTACACTAAAAACATTTGACAATAAATATGGTACTTGGACGGCATCCAAGTATCAATACAAATTATGGTACTGGGATGCCGTCACTGAACACGCCAAGCGCAGACAGTCACGGCCATGGATTATCACCAACAACCAAGTAACAAAACGGCCACCAAGTTCATTTATGAAAAGAGAGTAGAATTTTCAAAGAACTACAAAAATAGTTTTCACCATTAAGACACCAGAATATGCAAAATGGGAGGGACTTCAAATGTTAATCCCTAATGTGATATATTTTTTGAGCGCATCCCCTGTTTCCAAGTTTGGTTACAATAATACAACTCTGGAGAGCATTTTGTGTGGTCGTTGGGAGCGTGTGGTTCTCAATATGGCGAAGAGTTTGTAAAATATTACACAATTCCATCCTCCCTATTCGCACGCACCCGAGTATCGGAGGTGAATGCCACTTTCACTTCTTTCGTCTACTTACTGCTGGGGAAGCAGCATATGCATGTAGCTAATTGGTGGATTTGTTAGTTAATTCAAGGTTTTTGACAATGCAGGATACTTACCAGTTTTTCAATAGTTTCTTGTTGAACATAAACAGTCAAAAGCATTGATATCGATGCGTAAGCGTAGCTCTGATCGATTGGTGTCAAAATTATTGAAATTGGTTCAGGGGCAGCTGAGTTATTAACGATAAAAATCTTTCATAATTTGGTTACATGTTCCATTTTCAGTTTTTACAAAGTGTACCCCCATATAGAAATCAAAGACGTAGTCCTACGTCAAAATGAGTTGACCCACATTTGCAGCGCTGTTTTATAACTTTTCTGATTCAAGCAGCACGATGTGCAACCAAATTGTACTTGATTATGAGGACTGGGTTTGGGGAGAACGTTTATTTCATGCAAACAGTGATAAAATTATCACTTTTTATTTGTCCATCTAAAAAAAAAAAATTATGAAAAATTTAAATGAAACTTTATTGCAACAGCTTACGAAAGGTATTTCCTATCGATTGATGTATTCGGATTTTAATTTCATCTATAAATGACAAAGCTTATAGCGTTCACCTTTTCGTGACGTTCGCAATTTTAGATTTTCGATTTACCCCCAGTACCTTCCCGTAAGACGTAGTCTACGTCAAAACAAAATAATTAAATTCTTACACTAGACATTTTCAGAAACACATAAATGGACTGCAAATAGCAGATATCGCGGGCTGAAGGGTTGCCTTGTTCCTCGAGTGTATTCAAAAGTCGCTCTCTGGTGGCGTCATTATCCGTACATTGCCAAACTGCGTCATCAATGTCATTGTAACCGTTTTCACACCGACAGATGTTGTTGTTCACAAGGTGTTTTCTATGGAGATGCACATCTAAAGAGTAGTGGTTGGACAAAGTCCACTCATCACGCGAATGAAGTCACGACTTAAGCCCAAGGTTTTAAATCACGCTCTCGAAAAAAAAAACATTAGGAATAATTGAATGTAACAACTGTCCGAGATTTCCATTGTCCCAATCGGTTGGCCAACTCGCAAGGGTACTATGACTGGCCACTTTTACTGATGTTCCGGATCTTCTGGAGGACGATCCCATAGCCATCCGGGTTTATGTTTATGTCACGATCTCAAATTCATTCTTAAATCACAGTTCTTAAAGTTTAAAAAAATGCAGAGGTCTAGGATTAGTTTCTTGGATTGACCACTGATCTGGAGGACCGTTCTGATATCTCCAAAATCCATATTTAGGAACCATGACTGTATTCTGGCTAATTATGAACATTTATGATCATTAATCAAAATTATAGATCTGAAGCTTCTTGAACCCGTATAAAAAAAAACGTGTAACGACTCTTTTCCCTTTAAAAAAGGAGACGAGCCTATTTTCAACAATCTACAGACCCTAGGGATCAGAGTTGTGACCTATCCCAATCACGATCGTAAAACAGCTGATGGTCCTATCAATGTGCTTGTCGAGGCACTCTCCATGACCATCCATCAAGTTGACGAAAGAAGTAAAAAGCAACTGGTGAATGTCGTTTTCGGTGGTGATCTATCACCGATATGGTCATTCCCGACAATCACGACACTCATCTGTGCTCGTTTTGAACCAATTGCTGTTTTGCTTGCTTATGTGAGTGTGTTGGTAATGTGAGTGAGTCCAACAGCTTCAGTTCAATGTTGCCAGCTTTGTTTGTAACTCACACAGTCGCGCGTGCTGAGACGAACTTTGAATTCGTAGGCATTGTTTTCATTTTCTTCTGTCGATTCGTTTTTTCTCATCATCGTACTGCAGAAGTCTTCACTGTTTTTGTTTTCCTTTACATCATCAGCAGCAGCGAGTGTTACGTTTTTCCTGTGAGCAGCGACCATTACTGGTGATTGTTGTTTGCCATGACTTTACCTCTCACTGCGTGACAAAACGTTCGGTCAGCGATAGTCGGTTGATGCGTTGCCGAGTGTCGAGTGAGTTTCATGATATTTTGCATCACTGCTAGGGATTCAAGTGGTACCACATTTCTTTAAATTCATCAAGAAATAGCTAATATATGATATTGCAAACTTGCCATTACACATTTTTCGCACGTATCGTGTTAGGAGTGTTAAAAGCGAACTTAACTCTTTCATCTTTTAAACGCATAACTTACTTCAGTTCGTAAACTTATAAGAATGAGAAAATGAGTGCATTCACTCAACTTTCGCATCCCGGCTATGCTCATGAATAACCCGGTTTGGCATTTCCCAGTTTCTTGAGCTATAATTTATGGATTTTCTTTCTGAACAAACGAAATCTTTCACACACACATGTTTATTTTATCAACCTTCTGTAGATTGGTGTCAACATTTTGTGATTGTTTGATTTTTAATTCTAGTTACATACCACATGCCACATGAATATTTTATTTTTGTCAATAGCCCAGACGATCTTATGTTAGCTTAAAATTAGTCGAATACCTACTGATCGTTCGCTGTGTACTCCATTAATCGAGTAAATGTCAGACATCACTAATTCTGACGATGTTTACCCATGGCATGGCATCGTAGGACTATAACATCAAAAAGGGAACAATAATAAATTGAAAAAAAAAACCAATAAAACCTAAACAAATATGGCTTCCTTGTTGGAAAATTTCGAAAGTTTTTCCGGCACATTTTAATGTTTTAGTGCTGATGTTTTTTCTATTAGTTTTCTATTGCCTCTTCAAGGTTTTTTATTGGAAATTATTTGATTGTTATTGGATCATTCCAGGTTTTTTTGCTCAAACATATATTTTCTATTGCTATTTTTGAATTTTCTGTTGCCACTTTTCAATCTATTGCTGCTTTTTCTCTTCCTTGGTTAGTTTTCCGTCGATCTATTGTCCATCTCCGTCGAGTACCGACGCCAAGGAGGCAGCTTTCTACCTGGACCCTATCTATCGACCCATCAACTCACTGAACGGGGACCAACGGTTTTACTTCCCTGATCAGAGATTTTATGCCTCAGAAAATTCCGACGGGGCCGACTGTGGTTGAACCCAGGCCCTTTGAAGTGAGGCCGGCGCCGCCGTCCAAGAAAAACTTATTTAAATCTTTCATTTTTCAAAATTCGGTCTAACGACCCATTCATCAAAATGAGCCATATAAAATCACATGAACGTAAAAATATATTGTATTATCTTATCTATATTATCTTCATTAGAGTGCCATTAATTGTGAAAAATGTGTATTGCCTTGAACAAATTTCAATCAGACGTTCATCGGAAGTTTTCCATGAATTTTTCAATAACATCAGTTGTTTATCGTTTTCAAATCTCTGATTGTCCCTGCTCCAAATTTTTTTTTTCAAGAATACATGTGACATGATATCTTCCACTAACAATCACTCGATTATTCTTCTTTGACAATATTTGCTTAAAAAATGCGATTGCCTCGTTATGAAAATTTATCACATCGAAACCATCAAATATGATTATTGATTGATAAGCGTTGCTTTCTAGATTGTTTTCAATATTGTGATCTTTTTCATCATGATGCAGAACGATCCAGGAGAAGGTTAGCAATTTCTAAATGCTCATTTTTACTTGCATAGTGGAGAGGTGTTCTATTATTTTCATCCTGATGATCCACATTTGCAGATCTATCGAGAAGAATTTTAGTAATTTCTAAATGCCCATTTTCACTTGCATAGTGGAGAGAAGTTCTTTTATTTTTATCCTGAAGATCTACACATGCAGATCTATCGAGGAGAAGTTTAACAATTTCTAAATGCCCATTTGCACTAGCATAGTGGAGAGGTGTTCTGTTATTTTCATCCTGAAGATCCACATTTGCGGATCTATCGAGAAGAAATTTAGCAATTTCAAGATGTCCATTTTTACTTGCAATGTGCAGAGGACTTGTATTGAGGTGTTTATCATAACCTTGAAATATCTCAAATTTGGCGATCAGATTAGCATCTATGCCATAATCAAGTAGAAACAAAACCAGCTCAGAATTACCAGCATACGTCGCAGTGTGTAATAAAGATCCATATTTTTCGTGTTTTTTAGTTTTTAAATCATTATTTTTAAGTAGTTCCTTTACTACTTTTACTGAACTTGCTTCACATGCCCAGAATGCAACCTCAGCTTTTTTTTTACAAATATCGCTCAGAACAATCATTTGCTCTGATTGTTCTGAATACTGTTCTTCAGCTAGCTTAAAAAAAAAATTTCGGACTATTTCATGATCAACAAGTGTTTCGTACAAAATTGCTTTCCAGTTTTGGATATAATCATATATATACATTGCAGCGAAAAATCCGGCATAGGATAACTGTATGAAGCTAATATTGCCATTGGAAATATTAAAAAGAGGAGAGTGCTCTTTTCCGTTTTTGATTCGTTTTTGAAGGTCATAGTAAATTGTTTCGTGATCACCCGATGTGATTACATTATAAATCTGTTTCAAGGCAGCTATTTGATGCTCAATAATAAAGTATTTCATCTGACGGTCCTCTTCTTCATTACTTTGCATGTCAAAATTTTGGTAGGCATCTTGGTATTTATTTTTCTTCCATTTGATTTGAAACGAAAACTGCACAAACTTTTTAAACAATGAGACAACATTAAATTCTTGTACACGTTTATATGGAACAGTATTTACATATTGTTGGAAATCATCAGAATATGCTTCCGCCAACAATCGAATCATAAGTGGAATTCCAAATAATTCAGACTCATCGCTTGTTATGTCCGAGTAGAAATTTTCGAGCAAATGAGTTGAATAAATTTTAAATTCCCTTGAATCATCGGAAGCTTTCCATGAATTTTTCAATAACATAATTTGTTCATCGTCTGCAAATGGAATCAATCTGATTGCCCTTGCTCCAAAAGCTGATTCAAGAATATCTGTGACATGATATCTTCCACTTACAATCACTCGATTATTCTTCTTTGACAATATTTGCTTAAACATGGCGATTGCCTCGTCATGAAAAGTGATCTCATCGAACCCATCAAATATGATTATAGACCGATTTGCGTTGCTTTCTAGATTGTTTTTCAATATTGTCAAGCTTGTTTTTGAAAGAGTCGGTTTAAGAATTGTGTAAACTGTTTCTAAGTTTTCACAGCCCGTTTTGAGCATTTCCTGTAGGTTATTCAAATATATCAAGAACACATCAATATCGGATTTCTTTTGAACTTCGAAGGCAATGTATTGGAGGATAGTTGTTTTTCCCATACCAGGCTCTCCGATGAAGAGAGAAAATTTGCTCTCTTCTGGGTCGTCTATTAATCGTTTGATGAAATCATGGTCGCTTACAATATGATTATTTGCAATTAATTTTCTTCCTATGTACTCGCTTTCACGTTGTGATAAATTATGACTCAGTTCTTCCGTTATGTCTTTGACACACTTACGTCCCTCGGCTCCAGTTAAGTAAATCTTTTGTGTATGCTTGTCACTACTAAGATTGATCCAATCTTTAAAACATTGATAAAATTTAAAGAAAGGCAGCTCTAACTGTGCTTTGCCAAGATTGTCCGGTAGAATCCAAGTTCTCATCCATGAGCGAAGATCATCCTTGACGGTTGTCATGAGATCACTTGGTTGGTCTACACAGAAAGTTAGATGCTGAAAGAACTTGCTCACACGTTCTTCATTTAAATATGGAGGTAGTTGTGTGTCCCTAGATCTACCTTGCATCAGATTTTGAAACGCTTGATTTTTTGCTATGTTTGCCGTTGCTTCTCTATGAATCTTATTTAATAGCTCATTGTACAACCAATGATGGGTGGTATCGACCTGGGTGTTTGAGTTATCACTATTTGAATTCATAATTAAATCTGCCAGGATCTTCTGCAATGGTGTTTTGTACTTCGTCAATATGTCCGAAGCTTTTCCACGTTTGAAGAGTTCAATGATCGCATCCCTAATGACAGTTATTTCAGAGTTCATCAACTTCAGTAATTCTTCAATGTTATCCTCTTTTGGTCTGAATCTTATGTAGCAATTGTCGGATTTAGCTAACTTCATTATTGGGTTCACTTCACTTTGTTCACAGATCTCGATGTTCACCAACTTCTTAAGCTGTTCATCGCTAACGTCTAATGGTTTATTGGTTAGGATAAAAAATCGTTTCTTATACTTCTTGAACTCATCTTTTTGAATAACATCTAAATATGACTGTATGTACTTCACAAGAGCAAAATCTTGATTAAACTGGAACTTCTTCGGAAAAAAATTGTCGAACGATAATGGTTTTGTATCATCTGAGTTGCGTTTGTGTTTGGTTTGGATTAACAACATATTCTTCTGTTCTTCGAAAATTATGACTACGTCGTCAAATTTTCCAGCGTCCTTCATTTCTGATGCAAGTTTGAATTCTGATTTCCCGAAAGATGCTCGCTCAAACAGCACCAAAGCTAAATCTTCTTCGTATGGGTTGCCAGTATTGCCACCCCATGCATAGACCAATGGTTCCTTGGTGGGCTCCATTATTTTCCCTAAAAAGAAAAGAATAATATATTAGTAACATTTATCATAAGTATTTCATGTCTATTCGTTCAAAATAATCTAGGAATTGCTCTCATAAATATAGAAAAAAGCATTCTACAGTGTTTGGCTTGAACTTTTTATTTCCATATTGAAACAGCTTAACTTTTCACTCTATATTATTTCAAAATTATGTAACTTACACAACTCTACTCCGATCGACTACCTGTTAGAGCTGGTGTTCCTCAGGGTAGCATTCTTGGGCCGATATTGTAAAAAATTCCACTCCAGATCTCCCTAATTTGCCTCAGAGTACCAGGAATTCCGACTAAAGGAAGAAATCTTCGTGTTATTTGCAGCAGACTGCAGAAAAGTTAAGATATTGTCTCTTCTGATTTACAAAAATGGAAGATTTCTCCCAACGCTTCCAAAACATAACTTATAAAATGTTCACATAAACCTTGAGCTTCGTTTTTGAAACCTAGTTGTAGTCACATAGTCACTATTAACGGAGTTCCAATTTCCTGGTCAAACCAAGTGAAATATCTTGGATTAGTACTTGACCAAAAATTAACTTTTAAAGATCACATTGAGGGCATCCAAGCCAAATTTAACTCCTATTCTCTTACGAATAAGAAATCCAAACATTGCCTTAAGAATAAACTTCCAATAATTAAACAAGTTTTTAGACTGGCCATGTTTTACGCTGTGCCAATATGGTCTAGTTGTTGCACTACCAGGAAAAAGGATCCTCAAAGGATTCAGATAAAAAGTTCTGAAGATGATTTTGAAAATGCCTCCCTGGTGCAATACTACCGAGGCACATAGAAATTCGAATGTTGATACTTTGAAATAATTGTCCGACAAAATAATTAATTATTTCAGGCAAAACCGTTGCAATCCCCAATTACAACAATTGATTCCCTTTATACTCAGACGAGGTTTGGTTTTAGTTTTTAGTTTTAAGATTGAATTTCCAAAGCAGGAACAATGTAAACACACTTAGATATATATTCTGACAATAAAGGCTGGTTGCTTACTGTAGCAGTTGGATCACCTAGATGAAAAGTAAATGTAATCTTATTTGAAGAAAGAGTTATGTGTGGTTCATGTCACTAACGTGCACAGGAATCTTGTTAAAAAGGGGCATTTTTGACGTAGGACTACGTCTTTGATTTCTATATGGGGACACACTTTGTGAAAACCGAAAATGGAACATGTAACAAATTAAGAAAGATTTTGAACGTTAATAACTCAGCTATCCCTGGTCCAATTTCAATAATTTTATCACCAATCGATCAGAAATATGGCTACGCATTGATAAAAATGCTTCCGAATGTTGATTTTCATCAAGAAACTATTGAAAAACTGGTAAATGTTCAGCATTGTCCAAAAGCGTCGAATTAACTAACAAATCCACCAATTACCTACATGCATATGCTGCTTCCCCAGCACAGTCGTCAGAGAGTAGTAAGTAGACGAAACAAGTCGAAGTGGCATTCGCCTCCGATCCTCGGGCGCGTGCGAATAGGGAGGATGGAATTGCGTAATATTTTGCACACTCATCGCCATGTTCAGAACCAAACGCAAATTCTTCGAGATAACCCCCATCCGTCGTCTGGCTCGCCGTGGCGGTGTCTGACGTATCTCCGGTTTGATTTACGAGGTGTGCTGAAGGTGTTCCTGAAAAATGAGATCCGTGATGCTGTCACCTACACTAAACACGCCAGGCGTAAGCGGCCATGGATGTCATCTACGTTTTGAAGTGACAGAGAGGCACTCTGTTTGGTTTCGGAGGTTAAATCAACACCAACTTTGGCAACAAAACGGCTCTTTTCAGGGCCACCAAGCTTATTAGAGTAAAGAGTAGGAATAGAATTCATCTGCCTGTTTGTCCATATTCAGAACCAACGACCACACAAAATGCTCATGCAAATTGGCTTCTTTAAAGGCCGTTCAACAACTACGAATTTGCTCGAATTAATTAATTATTCCTTGAATGCAATGGATAACGGAAACCATGTAGAAGTGTTGTATACAGATTTCAGCAAAGCGTTTGCGAATTGACATACCCATGCTTCCTTTTAAACTTCAAAGAATGGGAATGCTTTACGCACTTCTCAAGTGGCTTGAATCATATTTAACTGACCGCTATCAAATAGTCAAATACAAAGGAAAGACAACAAATCAAATGTCACATCAGGAGTTCCTCAAGGCTCCCATTTAGGACCACCTTTATTTATTCTCTTCGTCAATGACATATCTTTCATTATTAAGAAATAGAAAACTTTAATCTATGCTGACGACATTAAACTTTTTTCGGAAATCAAAGATGCCAAAGACAGCAACACATTTAAAGAGGAAATACAGATATTCCATACTTGATGTCATAAAAGCCTGCTACAATTAAATATAAAAAATGTAACTCAATTACCATTAGTAGAAAACGAATCCTACCCGATGTAACAATCACTTTAGAAAACCAAAGCGTAGAAAAGTGTGATAGAGTCAAGGATCTAGGTGTTATATTGGAATCAAAACTTACTTTCACCGATCATTATAACACAATTATTAACAGAGCTAACAACATGCTTGGTTTCATAAAACGTTTCTGCTATAACTTTCACGATCCGTATACGATAAAAACATTGTACATTGCTTATGTAAAGTCGATATTAGAATATTTCAGCATAGTTTGGTCTCCTTTTTCAATCACACACGAAGAAAGAATAGAGTCCGTTCAAAAGCAGTTTCTATTGTATACACTCCGCAAGTTAGGTTGGACTGTATTTCCTCTGCCATCTTACACAGCTCGGTGTATGCTCATAAATATCCAAACCTTAAAAGAGCGTCGTGAATTTGCTATTATTTCATTTGTAAACGATATCGCATGGATTCAATAGAACTATTGTCATCCTTAAATTTATATACACCATCTAGGCATTTACGAAAAAGAAATATATTTGCTACAAATCATCATCGTACAAATTATGCCAAATTTGGACCCTTGAACCAAATGATGGATACATATAATAAGCACTGCGATAACATTGACTTTACAGTGACAAAAACCAAATTAAAGCAATATTTTATATCCTCGCATAACGTCAGCTAGAAGTAATGTTTTAACTTTTTCTCACGACATATTATAAAAAGTTATAAACAAAGACAAAATTGTAAAAATAGCACTAAAGACAACAAATGTAAAACGGTCTACACTGATTGACGACAAATAAATAAATTCATGAAGTAATCAACATTCTCATTTTCAGGAATATCTTCTTTACAAAGGACCATCGCCACGTCGTTGATAATTTTGCAATTCGTCCTTATGAAGTTCTCGATATTCGAATATTTAAAATATCGCCAACCTGCAACCATAAAATTCTAATGCTTCATCCTGATGATGTTATTGAAAATATTATTTCAGGAATGTCACCCTTCCAGTGGATATTTTTTTCGAAATTCTAATGCTTTGTCCTCATAAAGTTCTCGATAGACAAGTTTCAAAAGAATATCATTGTCACCTCATTGATAATATAATAATTCTTATGATCCGTCATCGTGAAGCTCTCGGCATTCTTGTTTTAGAAATGTCATCTGAACAGAGGACCATTGCCACATCGTTGAAAATTTTGAAATTCTAATAATCCGTCCTCATGAAGTTCTTTTTCTTATCTAATGCAATGTCACCCTTACAGAGGATTTTTGTCATACCGATAATTTTGAAATTCTATTGCTTCACTTTGGTAAAGCTCTCGATATGCACATCTTTTGAATTTCGCCCTTGCTTATCTGTCGCCCCTTGAGAAAAATTGCGACTTACCTGTTATTATGTCACGATTACAGTACTGGTTGTATCGCGGATATTAAGAAATAGCAATAGGAGATCTCGCAAAGTATCAGCATCCGGCTCGTCCGTCAATGATCCTGCGGAGCAAAAAACTAAAATTAATATCACGTCAAAGAGACTGCACTACAATCGAGTCGAAAATATGATGCATTTTATAATTTTAGTTTTTTACGATGTTGATGAAATGTTTTGTAATAGGAAATCATCAGCAGTTTATAATCTTAAAAAAAATCTTATAATACGTTTTTTGAATGTGCCCCAGTGCCAGATTTAGGATCCGGGGGCCCGGGGCAGATATAAGTTATAAGTTTAAATTTCAAATGTGCGTTCGTATTTTTCCTCCTACCATCTTGATATGAAACAAATTAAATTTAGATTAAAACAATCATAAGAAAATCATGTGAATTCTACATTGCGCCATAAAATTAATAAATGAAAAAGATTTAAATACTGTGATACGGGGGCAATTGAGCACCGGTATAGAATTGGTTGGTTGGTGATAGATATCAAAATAAATCTTGATAACATTTCATTATGCGACTCCAATGGTAGCTTTAACTAGTTTCTCTTTATTAAAAAGTAGATTTTTAAGCATAATTTTCAATATTACTTAAGTGACGTTCAATAGTATTCAATATCGGTTTCAAAGAAATGAATCATATGCTTAGAACGTGTATTGTCCTTAACTTGAAAGTAAAATTAAATGTAACATTTTGAACTTGATAAAGATACATAACGTATTATATATTTTCACTGTAAAAAAAATAGCGCCGCTAAAACGCTACCGCCATCTATTGAGTATACTTTCCGGTTCGGGATATTTTGGCTAGACGCGATCTGGAGTTTATGCAACTCATATATGTTTTCTTGAAGAATATTAACCATAGATTGTTAGTTTGATTAACCTTGTGTTTAGTTCTTATTTTGCATGTGGGTGTGTTTTTCTTTTTGTAGATTTGTTTCTGTAATAATTGTATAATTACAGAGTTGATATAACGTCGATAGGATTAAGTATATGTTTTAGAAATAGTGAAATTTTTGAATCCAAACAATTGTCATCCACTAACCTCGAGAAGACCGCGAGTAATGGGTTCACATCCTTTAATTTTAGATTTAAGACATTTATAATGTATAAAGAAAATGATAACTTGGCTCTGTAAAGTTTATTCGATTGAGCCTGTACAAATAAAGTAATTAACAAAAAAAAAATCTATTGAGTATACTGACATGGGCAGTACGTTCAACATATGGCGCTAGCGTGTAAACGTCAAACACAAGGGAATTGACTATGCGCGCCCCAAGCGACGGCTCTACTAACTAATACATATTTAAATTGATCGTTAAATGCGTGTTTGATGAACAATATGATGATAATTTGGCTAAACATGTTTGAATTACTTCATGCGTGAAGTTTACGATTTACATAGATGTAGCTGCCCCCTCCGCCACCACTGGCAAAAAAGATGATCGCCGACTTGCTCATGTACCTACGATGTGCGGAAACAGTTCTAATGATTTTTTTCACACTCAGGTCGCCATCAGACCAAACACCCTCCCCTTGGCTAGTTTTTTAACTGGACGTTGGTGGGCGGGCCTAATCTTATGCTTCATAGTGGAGCGTTGGAGACGGTTGGTTTAGGTCCGGCACCGTTGGCTCTTGCCGTGGCAGAATAGCGCCATGAGCATGCGATGAGGATTACTGAGCTTCCCCTCTCTGATGAACCATTGCATAAGAGAACCAAAGTTCTAGCCTGAAGTGATAGTATCACACTTGTTACTCCTTTATTTGAAGGCCGCGTTGTAGTACGCTTACGTATAGGCACTGACGTTGGGTGCGATACTGGCGGGTTTTTCCGCAAATCACTCTTATTTCATTTATTTTTACGCAGATTTATTTGGGTTTGCAAGGGAATTGTACTATTGAAATATTTCAGAAAGTGTCCAACAGTGCTCCTTCTACTTGCGTGACTAGCTTATTACCCAGGGAACAATGTTAAACAACATTTTTGCACATGGTATTGTAACTAATCTTATATATGCTTCATTTTGATTTGGGATAAGTGTTTGAACTAACTGTGGCGTGATTCTATTGTGACATACCCATACGTAATTTTGTGGTGCGACAAAGTGGAAACGTGTGAGCATAGTTGGAGCATATACCCTATATAATTTAAAAATCAGCTAGGAAACTAACTTCAAAGTGAAGCATTTTAGTCACTGGAAGGTGTCACTTAGGTCGAACTAAGATATACAAAATAATTATAGGTCAAAATCAAAAGTACTTGCAACACGTAAAATTTTTGATTACATACACAAATGCAGGTACTTAATAAAGCATGGGTTATAATTGATGAGGTAGATTAGAGATTTCATTTTTTTTTTATTAAATTAGGATAATGAGATTTCATAATTATCAAAAGAATTGAAATAAGAAAATTTAGGCAGCCTAATAACATTAAGTAGATAGACAAAAGAGTTAGGATACGGGGTTTCGCTTAGGGAAGCAACTAGCCTTTAAAGCAACTGGCAACTAGCCGTTTCATATATTGTCTGTTTATTTTGAGGGTTGCTTTAAAATATCAATTTGGTATATATGTGAAAGGATAAATAGGTGGGAGATGGAATGTCGGTTTCTTTGCATTTTGCAGCACAAATCTAGTACTTTGTGTCATTTCCTCAAAACCCCAAATAACCAACCTCTCCAATCCATTCCCATGGCGTTCAAGTGGTCCGCATAGACTATTCAGCCATTACCCTTCCTTTATCCTCGGCTTTGGATTGACTTGCCCTCGCATTGCCCCACCAAACACTGCAAAATGAAAATGAAAATGAAAAATGAAGTCGCCATCTGACCAAACAAATAATTCAGAGCACTTATAAAACACCTGTGTTGATAAAAAAAAAAGTTAAATAATAGCTTCCAGAGTTGAACAAAAATGTAGTTGTATTGCCATTTGGTTAAGAGCTTTAAAAACTGCATGGAGCGCTTTTGAATGATTGTTTGCGTTCGGTTTAACTATATGCTTCATAGGACTAACGATACCTTTTATAGCACGTCACTTAAATCAACAAGCAGGTTTACAGCTTCACAATGAACAGTGCTTTATGATATGTTTGTTAAGCATTTATTCAATTATTGTAGAGCTGTTTTACAACGCCTAATAAATTTTGATGAGGTTGACTTATAAAACTGTGTTGTAGTACTTGTGCGCAATTACACAGAAAAAATTCTGAATTTTAACTATCGCGTAAAATCTACCTTCGTTTAATTTTGAGCTATACTTAGCATAAAGAGCAATCGTTTACAAGCTTGCCTACAATATTGCTAATTTATGCGTTATTGCACTTAAATTTACACAAAATATCGCGTAAATTTATGCCAAATCAAGCGTTAATTTTATGTGCGCTATATCTCGCTGAAATTTGCATGAATTTTTCGAACGGTGTAGCATAAGTCATAGGTACGTTTATTTTACCGTAAGGCAATGATGATTCTACTCCAAGGGAAGTTACTCAAGATGAGCTTCATATAATTCTCTGATATGATCGAAATATGTAATCAAGAATAAAACAGATGGAAACAGAGATGGCTGGCAATCCAGGATCAGGAGTTTGAAACACTCAATGGAGTAGAGGTAAATTATGTATAGGTGTTATTAATAAATACAAACATTAATTTAAGATGTATGTAATATAATCAACAATTTAATTTCTAGATAAAATCTTTAAATTAATCATTATCATTGATCATCTCCTTCACAGTCCTTCCCCAACGAGGGAGTTTGGTAAAAGAGATGATCAACCCGATTCGTACCTTCATCAAAATTGACCTTGAATCGTTTTCTTCTCTCTATATACAATTTTCACATTGCCATACTACTCTAACGGAACAATCAACTCTATACTTTTATCGCCTAATCTATCGTATAAAATCATCACTTTAAGCCTATGTTATGTCTGTTTGTGTCTGGTAAAATGTTTCCAATGTTATAAATGAATGATTTTCTGTAAAATTACCAGTGATCAGTGATGGAAAAGTTCATCAAAGTTCCCTATGACTCGCGAACTTTTCCCTTGGTGAACTTCGTGAAATATCGCGAACTTTTCCAACACTGGCAGTGATATAAAAACATGGTTTTCAATTTAGAGTTGCGTTTTCAATGCTACATAGAAACAATACAAATCATTAAAACGGATTGGAAACATCCATGATGCATCGATGTCTAGGTTTTGCTTCAATGAAACTGAAACTCGACGGTATTGATTGCATTCATTGATACGTTTGTTGTTCTGGATGATAGAAGAGTGTAGCAGAAATAGTGCGAAAATGGTTAGTGAAGCCATGTTTACCAAAAAAGGAAATCGATGAAGAAAATTGACTTCTAGCGCCTTAATTCAGTCGTCGTCATAGCAATGTAAACTAGCATCGCAACGCTTTTGGTCAGAGTTGCAACCTATCACAATCACGATCGTCAAACAACTGATGGTAGTAACATAGAGGTAACTCTAAGACCAGAAGGTCCCGAAGAAACGTGCTCAACTTTTTGGCTCAGCTTTGATACTCTCATCGGTCCCAAGCTAATCGATGCACCCCTCGAAACATAGGAAAATCCATGAACCCCTCATTTTATCTGTCAAACTTTCATAGTGAATCAAAACAAACATAGTGTAGTACAGGAATTTATACTAGAATGGGGTACGTTAGTCGATTTGCTTGGGACCAATAGGCTAGTCAAGTAGTGAGCCAATTTAAAATCGTTAGTTTCGTATTGATTGTTGGTAGTAACGCTTTGTACATTCCTATCAATGTGCTCGTCGAAGCTCTCTCCATGACCATCCATCAAGTTGACGAAAGAAGTAAAAAGCAACTGGTGAATGTCGTCTTCGGTTCCATGGTTCCATCACCGATCTGGTCATTCCCGACAATAACGACACTCATCTGTGCTCGTTTTGAAGCAGTTGCTGCTTTGCTTGCTATTTTGTGTGTGTTGATGAGTGAGCCCAACAGCTTCCGTTTAATGTTGCCTGTTTTATTTGTAACTCACACAGTTGCGCCTGCCGAGATGAACTTGGAATACGGAGGCATTATTTTCATTTTCTTCTGTCGTTTCGCTTTTTCTCATGATCGTACTGCAGAATTCTTCACTGTTTTCGTTGTGCTTTTCATCATCAGCAGCGAGTGTAACGTTTTGCTTGTGAGCAGCGACCATAACTGGTGATTGTTGTTTGCCATGGCTGTACCTCTCACTGCGTGACAAAACTTTCTGTCAGCGAAAGTCGGTTGATGCGTAGACGAGTGTCACGTGAGTGTCATGATATTTTGCATCACTGCTTTTGGTTCTTGCTTGCTGGTTGCAATTCTGCTGTTCGACATTTTCGAAGGACCACCAAAGATCATGAAATTGAAAGTCCAATTATTCGATTAACGATTAATCGTAAAGATTTTTTTCAGTTATTCGATTATTCGAGCGCGTAACCGACATCCCTTCTTATTTCTACTTTTTGATTTAGCGTTGCAAAGAAGAACCATGACGTGAAACAGGATAATAAGAAAAAGTGTTAAACGCTGTCCACACTGGTGAGTTATAACATGTTATAACGGTTGTCAAATAATTGCAACACAGAAACCACCATCAAGATAGCGCTATAACATGTTATAACTCTGCAGTCTGAACGTACTATTAAGCGTCTTTCTGCTAAAGGCAAAGATTTACCAACTTGTTGATAGAAGGAGTTTAACGATAAAAACTAATAAGGGGAGAAGCTTCAGCTGGGTGGACACTGATGCAAACGCTGATTGAAACAAACGATATGACGTAACTACGAGCGTGTTTGAGCGTACGAAAGAATCAAATCGTGCGAAGCCGACTGAAGGCCGAGAGAACGAACTGCACCAATTGTCAAATCCAAGTTCATGCCGACCACCGCGGCGCTGTAATCATAGCGGTGATGAACTTGAGATCATCTGTCAAACTGCATATATTTTCAAGTTTGTGATAAGAGAACTATGATTTACGTGTTATTGTAATTGCTTTATTCAATAACAGAAAGCAAATATGTACAGAAACGGTTCGCCAGTAAGAATGGTAAGTAAATCCTAATTTTTGAATGCAAAATCATTGAGTTTTTTTCAAAATGAAAAAATAGGTTGCTCCCAGCAAAACATCAACAAATAATGTTAACAATGTTCTTACAGTATTCAAACTGTGAATGCAATACTGAAGGATCATCCCATCGGAAATTGAATTAAATCAATTAATTTTGCTGTTTGAGGTGAGTTGTTAGAACAATTTTACATATTGAAGCAATCAAAACAATATATTGTTCCATCCGCAGGAACATCATCTTTCTTATAGCTGAATCCGCTGCGAAAGCATTAGATTACTTCACACCTGGTTTGGTAGATTCAGACGAGTGGGGCAACAAAGGCAGTACCAAAAGTGCCTGTGTCGCAGACGGCTTTGGATAGTTTGCCTGATCACCAGGAATATAACCGAGCGGAAACCCTTTCTTCTCTGGCATAAGTAGAATCTCTCTGGTAAGAAGTGCTAAATTATTGAAATAGCATTGAAATAAAATAAAAATCGTAGAACAAACATGATAAAACCAACGAAATTCCTACGTGCTTCAATCGATGGTTGCAAATCATATTCGAATACAATCCTACCGTATTAAACCAATAACCATCATTTTACAAGGGGCTCTTTTCTATTTCTATTTGATTTGGTTGGTCATGTCTCCATATCAACATTAATCGATGTGATATGGCTGTTAACATAACCATGTCCATAACCTCATCATGTTTTTTCATTTTTTTTTTTTTTTGAAACTAGTATTTTTTTAGGATTGACACATATCAGAATAGTTTTTTAGGTTTTGTACAAGATTCATTCATTTTAATTGCATATTTACACAAACTAGCACTGTAATTTAACAAATTTCCATAAAAATAATTAAATTTCCAAGGGCTGTCACTAGCTGATCACCGTCGAATAGTGCTTATTCCTGTCACCAGGCGCGCATTAGTTTAAGTTGGATTCGTCAATAGACCAGGTTGTTCTGCGGCCACATTCCTACACAAAACTGGATCAGCATTTGTAAACAAACCGTTCTAAAGCTCATTCCTCACAAATCGAAGGCTACCCACACAAATCAACACCATCATCGACAGATACATATAGCGCTGAACCTGAGCGAAGGTGGAAGAAACGCATAGAAAAATGAGCAAATACCCAAAACTTTTTTCAGAGCATGTAATCTTTGCTATCAAATTCATTCGAAGCATTTACCTTTGAGCGACAGATGACACAATTGTACCTGTCTCATAGCGGTCGTACGAGAAAATTGAAGAGTTGGCAGTCTTCTTCATGTGTTGTCTTATATGAAACACAAAATGGCAGCTAGTGTTATGACGTCGTCACCAGCGTCCTCCGCAATATTAGTTCGACTTGGTTACTGCCCAACTCGAATCCACACGTGACACGCGCAGATAGGGGAGCGCATGGTGCTTGGAAGGGCCACGAGGATAGTGCTTGAAGCGATAACGAGTATTTTTAGAAACACTTGTTGCACCAAATATCCTATTCAATGTTTTACCTGTACATTAGTCTTTGGGGTTCACTTCATTAGTTCTAAGTGGCACTGAACTACACAGCTAGTGTTCAGTCTAACTAATTAGGTTTAAAAAACTAATGAATATCGGATAACTCACCTATATAAAACAAAGTTAGCTATCACGCGTTTTATCACTTCAAAACTAATATAACACACTCGGTATGAACAATATGCCACACTTGGGTATAATTTTGACTTAACAATTAGGCTTGACGATCTGATCACTCGCACAGGTCTAACAGAAATAACCCTAACTCATATTAGGAATATCGCTTGCCACTTCGTATACGAGAAATAAATTCAGAATTCCAACGTGTCCTGCTCTGATTGGTTAAACCAACACCAACCGAGGTTGCGTTTCACAATGTTTAGTAAAAGATTAAAATTGAATCGAAGACTACCACATTAAAAAAGTAGTATGATCCGAGGCTACTGTACGGGAGCTATAAATTTCTGCTGTATTTGTTTTTATATATCTAGTTGCAAATCCCGGCACTCCACCAATAGTGGCGCTACCATACCTTAAGTGTTACAAGCTGTAAAGGTGGTCGGAAAGCTCACTAAAGTAACGGCAGAGAGCTTTTACTTTCTGTAAGTTACGATGAACGATCCACAGTTGGGGCAATTGAACAGTACGGAATGCAAACGCAGAGACAGAAAATGAACAGGCACATACCAACCTGGGCTGTGCAAGAAGTGGAACTGAAGAGCTGAATGTATTGGTGCACTTCGTTTATCTCTCGGTTTTCATTCCGCTTCGCACGATTCGTTTTTTTCGTTCGCTCAATTACCATTGTCGTGACGTCATAACGTTTGTTTCGATCAGCGTTTGCAAAGGAAACGTAATATGGACTACATCATTTCGGTATAAAACTCAATTATGGATGTTCTTCCTCTAAATCTAAACATCCTGCCAGTGAGTTTTTTCCCGTTTTGAAGTAAGGAGTTAGCATAAAACCGAAAACATCATCATGATTTGTTGTCTTTGATAAAACACAAAATGGCAACTGGTATTTCACGGCGACTTTACAAAAGAATGCAAGCATATTTCACTAAGTTGTTTTACAAGTGTTATGACGTCGTCACCAGCGTCCCCCGCAATCGGCAAATCAAAGTTGGCACTCGTGGAGAATAGAAGAACTATGAGAGTGATGATGGTTTCAAAATTTTACACGGTGAGGTATACGAGTGCAATCTTGAAATGCTTTTATTTTGCAAATGGGGCATTTTATATAAATCTGGTTAATGCTACGCTAGTAGAAAACTTGAGGACTACTTAATAGACATATAATATAGAAAAAATAATTTCTTTTCAGATTTTTATGTGTAGACATAGATTTCAGCTTTTCTACAACTGTAGCAGCAACCAGATTTAAATAAAATGCTCCATTTGCAAAATAAAAGCATTTTAATATTGCACTCGTATACCTCCCCGTGGGAAATTCTGAAACCATCATCACTCTCATAGTTCTTCTATTCTCCACGAGTGCCAACTTTGATTTGCCAATATTAGTTCAACTTTGTCGCTGCCCAACTCGAACCCACACGTGACACGCGCAGATTGGGGAGCGCAAGGCCATGAGGATAGTGCTTGCAGTCATAGAGAGAATTTTTAGGAACACTTGTTGGACCAAATATCCTATTTAATGTTTTACCTTTACATTAGCCTTTGGGATTCACTTTATTATTTCTTAGTGGTACTGAGCTACACAGTAAGTATTCAGTCGGGCTGTCTGGCTATACATTATATAATTAGGTTTAGAAAACTAACGAACGATCTAACGATCGCTGAACTCACCTTTATAAAACAAAGTTAGCTATCACGCGTTTTATCACTTCAAGACTTATATAGCACACTCGGTATGAACAATATAGCACATTCGCACAGGTCTAACAGGAATAACCCTGACTCATATTAGGAATATCGCTTGCCACTTCGTATACGAGAAATAAATTCAGAACTCTTATCAATTCCAACGTGTCCTACTCTGATTGATAAGGCCAACACCAACCGAGGTTGCGTTACACAATGTTTATTAAAAGATTAAAATGTAATCGAAGACTACCACCTTGAAAAAGAAGTACGATCCGAGGCTACTGTACGGGAGCTAAACATTTAGAAAAATTGATTAAAATTAAGGTGCTCTGAGACTGGCATACACGAGCGTCAATTTTGACATCAAATTGAGTCATAATAGACGCGAAATTCAGCTCAATCAATCGTACTTTCGAACTTTTCAGTCTCGGATCACTTAATTTTACATGACATGTTTGTGTACGTCTCATCCTTTATGTCAAAGATGGATTTCGTCACGTGTAAGATTATTTATTTCTAAGTGTGTATAAATTTCTGCTGTATTTGTTTTTATTTATCTAGTTGCAAATCCCGCCACTCCACCAATAGTGGCGCTACCATACCTTATGTGTTACACACTGTAAAAGTGGTCGGAAAGCGCACTAAAGTAACGGCAAAGAGCTTTAATTTCTGTAAGTTACGATGAACGATCCACAGTTGGGGCAGTCGAACAGTAGGGAATGCAATCGCACGACCAGCAAATGAACAGGCACATACCAACCTGGTATGAGCAAGGAGTGGAATTGGAGAGCTGAATGTATTGGTGCACTTCGTTTATCTCTCGATTTTCATTCCACTTCGCACGATTCGTTTCTTTCGTTCGCTCAATTACCATTGTCGTAACGTCATAACTTTTCATTCAAAGTGTTTTTATGTTACTTCATACGCGAAGTTAGCGATTTTCAGAGTTGGTTGGAAATGCTAACATGAAGCTTTAGTGTGATTATTTATTAGCTAGAGAATGATATTTAGAAGAGAGTAGGTGGATAGTTCCGTTAGAGTACGGCAGTATGAAAATTGAATAGAAGTTGAAAATGAGCCAAAGGCCATTAATACGACAGTTTTTGAAGTTAGACTAAAAACTTTTGCCTAACCCGTACGATGTACGCGGAGACTTGAAGTATGTCTCCAAGTCTACAGGCAAAAAATGTGCGTCCTTCTTTTGCTCATAAACTGACTGCGGCTGTGGAATAGTTCTAGCGACGTTTTCATCACTACCTAAAGCCCCACGTTGCGAGAGCATTTCCAGTCGATGGTGTGTTATAATGCAATTGGTCATGACGAGAGGAGCAACACAATAGTTGGGTAAAGAATCCACATTAAATTTCATATGTAAGCGCCGATTGAAACAATCTTTTCGACGTCACTACAAAGGTGATTGATTAAACGAAAGAAACGAATCGTGTGGAATGAAAGCCGAGGAAAAACTAATTGCACCAATATATTCAGGCCTACAATTCCACACCTTCTATAGACAGGTTGCGCCTTGATAGCTAGCTGCTTGCGGGAACTGATGACCTTGACCAATGTCCAAATAATACTCTTTAACAAATTTTTGGTGGCCCTGAATAGGACCGTTTTGTAGTGATGGTTGAGTAATTCTGAGCTGGGTGTTCAACACGGATGAGGCTGTCGAGCTGTATGTCGTTTGGAGCGAGGGTGACACACTTGGCATAGATGACCGACCCGCAGCGACTCACGAAGAGCTACTGATTCCGATCCATAGCATCTTCCTCCTTTGGTGGTTGCTTATGTGAGCTCTGCAGCTCGCTGCTTGCAGGCAGTCTTTCGTTGTTACTGGAGAACAATTTTCAACGCCACACGCCGAAAGCACTGCTACTGCTGCTACTGCTGCTACTGCTGCTTCTAATTTTGACGACCGAACACCACCACACAGTGGTGTGGTCGTTAGGAGCGTGTGGTTCTGAGTATGGCGATGAGTGTGCAAAATATTACGCAATTCCATCCTCCCTATTCGCACGCGCCCGAGGATCGGAGGCGAATGCCACTTCGACTTGTTTCGTCTACTTACTACTCTCTGACGACTGTGCTGGGGAAGCAGCATATGCATGTAGGTAATTGGTGGATTTGTTAGTTCATTCGACGCTTTTGGACAATGCTGGACATTTACCAGTTTTTCAATAGTTCTTGTTGAAAATCAACATTCTTAAACATTGTTATCGATGCGTAGCCATATTTCTGATCGATTGGTGATAAAATTATTGAAATTGGACCAGAGGCAACTGAGTTATTACCGTTCAAAATCTTTCTTAATTTGTTACATGTTCCATTTTCGGTTTTCACAAAGTGTACCCCCATATAGAAATCAAAGACGTAGTCCTACGTCAAAAAAGCGGACAGAAACTGTTAGCATTCCCAATGGTCGGTGACGGAATGAGACGATAAATTTCCAAGTGTGGGTAAAAAATATACCCATTATGCAATCGTGAACTGATTCTTTAAATGGGTATTTTTTCACCCATTTTATGATTTCCAAATCCCCCCATTTTTTGACAGCTGCATACATGGTTTGAAAATGGGTATTTTTTACCCATAAATGGGTTTTCACGAAACACCGTGTATACCTGGGTAGAATTGTACATGCCTGTGCGTTGAAGTGATTAATATTTGAATAAATAAGCACTTCAAATCGTCAATTGTTCACTTTACCCCAACTTCCCCTATCCATTACATTTCAACGAAGTATACACGGTAAGAAAAAAGTACCCAGCGGCCAGTTCACTTTTACCTACTTTTGACTAGTTTGTCTCCTTTTCTCCTTCTAATGTTGTCTAAAACGGAGGAGCAAAACCACCCAACAGGGGTAGTAAAGTGTGGGAACCCAACGTTGAGTATAATCATATTTACCTACTGTTGGGTACAACTAACTTACTTTTGGTTAAAGAGCCAGTGGAAAATTCCATACGAACTGCACATAAGTAAATGAAAATTACTTTGACCCGCTTTACCTACTTTTGGGTTCCTGCACTATGTGCCGAGATGAGTGAAAAGAACTTAATTTTGGGTATTTTTTTCTAACCGTGTAGCAATAAAAGAGAAAAGTTTGACAATACATGTTTGAAAACTGGAAAGTTTAGTGAAATCTGCAGGCTGACAAAATCGAGGGTAAAAAATCAGAAGCGGACAAAATCGGGAAAGCACTGTATTTTTTAAGGTGGTAGCCTTCGATTATATTTTAATATTTTACTAAACATTGTGAAACGCAACTTCGGTTGGTGTTGGTTTAACCAATCAGAGCGGGGTACGCTGGTGATTACGTCATAACACTCGAAAGCAACTTAGTGAAATATGTTTGTAATCTTTTGTAAAGCCGCCGGGA